CATAGCTCCCAAGGTCCCTTTCAGAAAAAACACTTAAAGGCACATAACTCATTATCAAATAGTGATACCCATAAAACATTTGGCATAAATACTATTTTTGTACACAGAAATGTTATTTGAGCATTTTTTCATGATCGGTCCAACTTTGGTCATAGCTCCCATACAAGGTTCCCTCCCGAAAATCACTTAAACGCACACAACTTATTACAAAATATTGATATCCATACATTTAGCAAAAATATTGCTCTTATATACATAAATTAAACTATAAAATTGTTTTACGATCGGTCCATATTTGGTCATAGCTCTTATACTAGGTCCCATCCAGAAAATCACTTAAATGCACAATATTCATTACCAAATAATGATATAGATACAGAATTATGAAATTTTGTCTTTATATACATAATTGGTCATAGCTCCCATACAAGGTCCTTTTAGGAAAATCTCTTAAACGCACATTACTCATTACCAAATAAAGCTATTGATAAAAAATTTGGCCCAAATATTAATTTTGTATACAAAAATTCTAGTTGAAGATTTTTTCACGATCGGTTCATAACATAGGTGTGGTCGGTCCCATTCAAGGTTCCCTTCAGAAAATCACTTAAACACACATTACTTATTACTAAATTACGATATAGATACAAAATTTGACTGAAATATAGCTTTTATGAACAGAAAATTTGCTTAAAGAATTTTTACGATCGGTCTATAATTGGTCATATCTCCCATACTATGTTCTGCCCCTAAAAGCGCTTTAACCGTATTTAACTAGTTGCGTTATCAATTTGTGTAGAACAAAATTATATATATTTATTTTGAAAATCCTTAAATCTTTTACACACATGCATACAGGCAAATTACTAAATATCGCTAAGCGCTATACAAATATAAAGAAAATGGTGTTTGTAATGTTCAATAAATCATGGAATTGTAATAGATTTAAGCTGTTTAAATCTTTGTATTTTTTCTATTCAAGACATGAGAAAACTTATTTCTACAAATATTTGATCAATTAGAAAAGTATTAATATATGTATAAGTAGCTGGTGGAGGGTATTTAAGATTCGGCTCAGCCGAATATAGCACTCTGACTTGCTTTTTTAAATATCACCACCATCAGTGGTGATAGAGGGTATATATATCTTTGACATTCCGTTTGTAACACCAAAAGATATTCATCTGACACCCAACAAAGTATATATATTCTGGGCCCTTATCGAATTCTGAGTCGATTTAGCTATGTCCGTCCATCTGTCTGTGTAAATCACGCTCATGATAAAACGAAGCAATAAAATTTTACCAAATTCACCGAAAATGTTTTTCATTTTCCCAAGTTGTTTGGTATTGAAAATGGGCAACATTCGTTTTTGCACAAGAGCTTGATTCCTGCTGAAAATTGCCAGAGTCGGTCCACAATTTCATATACCTTTGGTGCAAATATTGCTCATATGCAAACAAATATTACTGTGAAATTTTTTTTCGATCGGACCATAATTGGTCATAGCTCCCATACAAGGTCCCTTTCCGAAAATAACTTAAACGTACATAACTCATTACTTAATTAAGATATCCATATAAAATTTGGTACAAGTATTGCTCACATATACGGAAATATTACCGTGAAGTTTGTCTTCCGATCGGTCCATAATTGGTCATAGCTCCCACACAAGGTCTCCTCCCGAAAATCACTTAAAACCCATAACTCATTAGTAAATTAAGATATCCATATAAAATTGTTACAAGTATGGCTCTTATATACGGAAATATTACTATGAAAGTTTTTTCGGATCGGTCCATAATTGGTCATAGCTCCCATACAAGGTTCTCTCCGGAAAATCACTTAAACGCGCATAACTAATTACTAAATTTAGATATCCATATAAAATTTGGTACAAGTATTGCTCATATGCACAGAAATATTACTTGGATTTTTTTTCCGATTGGTCCATAACTGGTCATAGCTCCCATACAAGGTCCCCTCCCGAAAATCACTTAAAAACGCATAACTCATTAGTAAATGATGATATCCATATAAAATTTGGTACAAGTATTGCTCTCATATACAGAAATATTACTGTGGCATTTTTTTCCCATCGGTCCATAATTGGTCATAGCTCCCATACAAGGTTCTCTCCGGAAAATCACTTAAACGCGCATAACTAATTACTAAATTTAGATATCCATATAAAATTTTGTGCAAGTATTGCTCATATGCATACCGAAAGTCACTTAAAACCGCATAACTTATTAGTAAATGAAGATATCTATATAAAATTTGGTATAAGTATTGCGCTTATATACAGAAATATTACTGTGAAATTTTTTTCCGATCGGTCTATAACTGGTCATAGCTCCCATACAAGGTCCCCTCCCGAAAATCACTTAAACGCACATAACTTATTACCAAATAATGATATCCATACATTTAGCACCTATATTGCTCTTATATACATAAATTACACTATAAAATTGTTTTACGATCGGTCAATATTTGGTCATAGCACTCATACTAGGTCCGCTCCAGAAAATCACTAAAATGTACAATATTTATTACCAAATAATGATATAGATACAGAATTTTGAAATTTTGTCTTTATATACATACCTAATTGGTCATAACTCCCATACGAGGTCCTTTTACGAAAATCTCTTAAACGCACATTACTCATTTCCATACAAAGCTATTGATACAAAATTTGGCACAAATATTAGTTTTGTATACAAAAATTCTATTTCAAGATTTTTTCACGATCGGTTCATAACATGGGTGCGGTCGGTCCCATACAAGGTTCACTTCAGAAAATCACTTAAACACACATTACTTATTACTAAATTACGATATAGATACATAATTGGACTGAAATATAGGTTTTATTTACAGAAATTTATCTTAAAGAATTTTTTATGATCGGTCTATAATTGGTCATATCTCCCATACTAGGTCCTGCCCCTAAAAGCACTTTAACCGTATTTAACTAGATGCATTATCAAATTGTGTAGAACAAAATTACATATATGTATTTTGAAAATCCTTAAATCTTTCGCATACATACATGCAAATTATTAAATATCGCTAAAGCATATCTTATGGCGCTATAAAAATATAAAAGAAAATGGCGTTTGTAATTTTCAATAATTCTTGGAGTTGTAACAGATTTAAGCTGTTTAAAACTTGGGGTTTTTCTATTTAAGACATGAGAAAACTTATTTTTACAAATATTTGATCAATTAAAAAAGTATTATTATAAAAGTAGCTGGTGGAGGGTATTTAAGATTCGGCTCAGACGAATATAACACTCTAGCTTGTTCTTTGAAAATATTGGAGCTAGATTCTTCAAATTTTGTACGAAGAACTTTAACATCCATGTGAACATTTGGAGAAAATTGGGCGAACTATAATTAGGGAGGATTGGCACCTCCCATATGAATTAAGTTCAAAAATTCGTGTATTTGGGAAACTTCGTAGACTTGGGATAGAATCATCAAATTTTGCACGAAGAACTCTGACATCCATTTGAATATTTTGGTAATAAACCATATTTTGGTAAACCATATAAATTAAATACAAAAATTCGTGTATCTGGGAAACTGTTATAGCTATTATCTTCAACAATCGTAAAGTCTGTGTTTTATGATTTTTGGGTAGCAAAGCACACAGGGTATAGCTAGTAGTGTTATAAATTTGAATACTTATGTTGAATACTGTATATATGTAATTTTAATTTTTCATATATTCTAAGAGGTATTTCGGATAATAACTTGAACTTGATATTTGAATCAACAAGTGTAATAGAAGTATTGAATTAAAAAATATAGTAATATTAAAACAAGTAAGAAATTATAGTCGGGCGAGGCCGACCATATAATGCCCTACACCTATTACAAAAATAAAATGTGGTTTAGTTTTCATAATAAAGCATTTAAGTTGAATTGTACCTTATCTCAGATGTACTTAAGCCATTTATTCTTAAATAAAATTGTGGATATATAAGTCAAATTTTGTATAGGGGCTATGGTCAAATGAGACCTAGTATAGAACTTGGTTTTGCAGCTTTTTGTCGAGATACGATTATAATAAACATAATTATGAACTTCAAAGCCCTATTTGTATATTTTAAGGCGGGTATAGGACCAATATTATTGTGCGTTACAAACATCAGCAGAAACCCAATATACCCTCCCCACTAAAGTAGGGTACAAAAAGTTATCAAAAAATCTAATAAATCAAAATACATACTTTTATAACCTAAACAAGTAAGAAATTGTAGTCGGGCGAGGCCGACCATGTAATACCCTACACCTGTTACAAAAATAAAATGTGATTTAGTTTTCATAATAAAGCATTTAAGTTGAATTGTACCTTGCCTTGAATTATACTTAAGCCATTTGTTGTTGAACAAAATTGTGGACATTTAAGTCAAATTTTGAAGGGGGGTTTGTATAGGGGCTATGGTCTCATTAGACCACAGACCATTCATGAGAGTCATCAAGGCTAGTATAGAACTTGGTTTTGCAGCATTTTGTAGAGATACAAGTATATTAAACATAATTTTGAACTTAAAATCCCTATTCGTCGGGTTCAGTTGTATGGGGGCTAGGTGAAATAATGGACCGATGTTAACCATTTTTTGTCTCCGGTACCATAGATGATCATGTGCCAAATTTCATTGAATTATCTTCAAAATTGCGACCTGTAGTTTGATTACAAGGTTTACATGGACGGACGGACACAGCTAAATCGACCCAAAAAATGATTCTAAGCCTATTATATATTATATATACTATGTATACTTTAAGGTGGATATAGCACCAATATTATTGTGCGTTACAAACATCTGCAGAAATCCAATATACCCTCCCCACTAAAGTGGTGTAGGGTATTAAAATTAACCATATATTCACATATTATTAAAATCCTCGTAAATTTATATCAGGATATTATTTTTCCTTTTAAAAATAAAAGAAAAAATTGCCTAATTTTGCTTCAAATAATTGTTCTGATTAAGTTTTTTCTTAAAATTTAAAGAAATTTTATATAGGCATATCTTAATCGGTTCACTTTATGTATGTAAACATTAAACATACTTCGCTTATTCGCATGTAAACACCTCTGTTGTTTTGTCCAATGTCAAAGTAGAAATTTTTATTGTCTACCTTCATATGACGTTCTTCAGGCAAATCTCCTTTAAAACTAAACCAAAAAAGAAATTTAAATAATTATGAATACACAAAAATGAAAGCATTTTTACCCGCCATCGTTAGTACCAAAGTCTTCCAACAGATCGGTAAGAGCATCACGAAATTCAATCATACCTTGGGCTGGTATGGCAATTTGCGAGCGAGGACCACCACGTGTTATTGTTTGAGAGACCTAAAAATATTCGTAAAAATAAAGTAAATGAAAAAAATTAAAAGGTGTTAAATACATCTTCTTCTATATGTATAACAAGTTAGGGTATTTTATTCGGCTGTGCCGAATCTAAAATACAATCCAACATAAACTGGTTGTATAAATTATCAAATTTATTATTATAATTAAGGATTGATTCATCATTTCCTACATATTAGGGTGATCGATTATTCGACATTTTCCAAAAACCGGTTTTCGAATAGTTCGAGTTGTTGACGATATTTTTCAAATTGAGAAAAAATCGGTTTTTATAAAAAATAAAAATCTATTTTAATTTGAAACAAGTAAGAGTGTTATAAAAAACCGGTTGATATTTTTCAAATTCAGAAAAAACCGGTTTCTATAAAAAATAAAAATCTATTTTAATTTGAAACAAGTAAGAGTGTTATAAACATTGCCGAAAAGGAATGCTTCCTTATAAATGAACTTTGATATTTAAGAATCGATGCTTTTGTTATTATCAAAACAATTTTCTCATTTATTACAACTATGTATAATTTTACATCATACATATGTACATATATCGATAGGATCAACTCAATTCGATAGGATCAATTCCTCCTAAAATTTGGTAGAGAAATTTGTATCGAATTTTGTCGCTGCACTTGTATTTTCAAGGTAGTAAAAAGCGTTAAAGTTATTCTCTGAGAGGGACCTTATTTAGGGGGGAGGCTTGGTCAATTATGGATCCTCGATCCTCGTCAAATTTTCTAGAACGATTTTTGTTTAGGCTAGTAATGAGCGTTAAAGCCATTTCTGAAGGCGACCTTATATATCAATTATGAACCGATCCTTATAAAATTTTACAAAGCGATTTAGGTACCTATAAAATATGTTCATGTCGAATTTCATCGCAATAGATGCTTCTTTTAGTCAGTTATGAGCGTTAAAGTCATTTTCTGAAGGGGACCTTATATGGGGGATAGGGTCAATTATAGACCAATTCTTATAAAATTTTACAATGATATTAGTCCAAAAGAAGCTACAGATGCTTCTTTTGGACAGTTATGAGCGTTAATGTTTATGTTTAAATTTGATTAATAAAACATGGCCCGAACTGATTTTTAACAGTTTAAAGATTAACGGTTGTATTCATAAAAAGTTAATTTAGGTTTATTAAACATTATTAAGCAAAATCCAGGAAAATGGTATTCATAAACGTCAAATAGCTTAAAATACCTTCAATAAACCAATGACAAATAGAACAAATTTATTGTACGCTCGACCCTACTTTAAGCCAACAATAAGTTGAATTCTTACAAATTTTGTCTCTGATTAAGCTTTTTTCATTAATTTTAGGTTGAAGACGAAAACTAATCATGTTTTATTCTGAAATGAAATCTAAAAATTGTAATTTTAACGTTTACAAATTTGTAAATAAAATTCCAGATAGATTTTAAAAGTTTATATTTTGGTGAAAAAACTAAAATCTAGGCATTATTGGATTAATAGATGAATATTTGACAGTATTCCAGTTGGTCAATACTATTTTTGGCAATTTGGAAATGCCCGCCTGTCAATCAAATCATGGCCACATTCATTTTATTTGTCTTGTTCATAGTTTATTCGCTAAATATAAAGCCATGAAGTAATTAAGAGTGTAAATTATATTGATTAGTGTTCTATAAATGCAAAATATCTTCTCCGGCAATAAAATGTAGTCTTTTATCAAAGAAATTTATCAGTATTTGCAAAAATTTATTAAAAATTGCTATAAAAATAAGTAAAAATAACAAAATGTGCATAGTGATGTTTATTTTGTCACAAAATATTCGTTATTCGAATACTTTTAATTATAATTAAAAATATATATGTTATATTCATTCATCTGAACTAAATATATATTTATTGTAGCCATGTATACATTTATTTTTCTTAAAAGTTCGTTCTTATTTTCAAAAATGTGTTATAACCAAAAATATAAAATTAAGAAAACCGACTCAACGAATATTTTATCCTAATTGTTCGCAACACTAACACAGAAAATGACAGCCAAATTGTACAGTGCTGCCAAGTTAAACAATAAACAGCACAAAAGTTAATGTAGGTTTATTATTTGTTTATGAATACCACAATTTTATTAATGGCTATTAAGTCTAAAGTGTACTTTAACTATTGTGTGATTTAAATCCAAAATAAGCATTTTTTATGAATACAACTGTAAAACTTTAGATTTAGCCGTCTGATTTACATTATTTATGTAATGTAAAAAATTAGGAAAAAAGACACTTCTATTAAACATAAAGTACTCTGTAATCCTAGCTTATTCTAAAGTCCCTGTTTAGGCAATTTTCGTAGGCATTCCAACTCTTCCATAATATTTCCGACGCAAATTAATTATTGTAATTGGAATATAATCTTAAGATTGATAAAATTTTATCAAACAAGTATTCCAATCAATTTTACATATACAATTTTATACCCTCCACCACCCTCCACCACCATCAGTGCTGATAGAGGGTATATATAAGTTTGTCATTCCGTTTGTAACACCGAGAAATATTCATTTGAGACCCAACAAAGTGTATATATTCTTGGTCCTTATGAAATTCTGAGTCGATTTAGATATGTCCGTCTGTATGTATAAAACACGCTCACGTTAAAACGAAGCAACGGAACTTTATGAAATTCACCCAAAATATTCATTGATATCCTAAGCAGTTTGGAATTAAAAATCAGCAAGATCGGTGAAATAGGTTCAGAGTTATGAGTAAAAATTTGAGACAACCTCAAAAAAATTGTGCTTTTTCACAAATTTATTTGTATTTTTTACAAAAACTACTGCAGATAAATTGATGAATTTTGTCAGAGATATAACTCTTGGTGCAAGGATCAACATTGTTAAAAATCGGACAAATCGGTTCACAATTACATATACCTCCCATACAAATGTACATATTCCCCGAAATTAATTTATTGTTAATAACTTCCGAAATAATGCCGATATATTTACGAAATTTTACAAATTTAAATTCTATGCCAATAGAATTCATATAAAGAAACAATTAAATAAAAACTGTCCAAAACGAACAGGATTCGAACTTAAAATCTCCCAGTTGCTAGTTTTACGCCATTCTCACTACACTATTAACTAGCTTCGTAATTGTTTGCAACTAATGTTCACATAGAAATTCTCTTTCCTGTTTGTGTAAAAAATTGTTGTTAACCCAAGATAAAATAAAATGTGCACATTGAGAAAGTGTAACTGATAATTTCTTATGCTATTCAGCAACATCAGTGTTGATAAAAGTTATTCAGCAGCAATGTTTTGTACCAACAGAAAATAACATGGCATTTTTATATTAAAAATATTAGTTAACGAAGGACAAAATAATGAAGTGGTGCAGTGGATGGAAGGGAGAATTAACAAACTGAGCATTGCAGGTTCGATTCCGATTTATCTTTTTTTGTCATAAATAATTAAATTTTTTTTTAATAAAATTAAGTGTCGAAATTCGGTTCAACAATAAAAATTTAAAAGCAATTTTTTTTTTTTTCATAGGATCAACAACGTTGAAAATCTATTGTACCTCCCGCACAACATTATATGAGTTTTATAACTATTACCATACATTTCTCTCACACATAGAAATTATTTTAAATACAGAACGTAGGTTAAATTTAGTACTGCTGTGTAACAGTCTGTTAAGTGGTAGTTTTGTTTTTAATTGCATATTGTAAGGCGTAATGAAACCAGTTTAAGGTGGAGGGTATTTAAGATTATTAGATATAGCACTCTAACTTGTTAATATTAATAATTACTAGCTGCGTGTACCCGGCGTTGCCCGAGTTTCTTCAAAAAGTAAAGAGAATAATTTTTTTTCTATCTGTAATGACTTTTTTTTAAATAGATATCAAAATTTATCTTATAACGATAAAATAGTTATTTTATTTTTCTGTATTTTTTTCATTCTTAAAGTCAGTTTCTGGTCCAAAAAGTCCTTAAAAATTTAGAAATTGAAAATGAGCTCAAATTAGGAAATTTTGACTAATTTGTAGAAAAATTTAAAAAACTTTTTTGAGAAATTATTCTGAAATCAGCATTTTCAATCACTGGTAGGGAACTAAGGACACTTTCATATAATTTGTTTTATTTTTTTCATGTGCAGTAGATTGAAAGAACTGCCCCTGGTGTAGAGAGGCAAATTTCTTCGGGGCATTTTATTAATTTCAAAAATACCATTAACCGTAAAAAATTTCAAGCTTGAAAACTGACAAAGTTATTTGCGTGAAGAGGGAAAATACAATATATTAAGAAATTTACGCAATACAAAAGTTGTAATGATATGCAAATTTAATAAATTTTATAAACTTAAGATTTTTGAATATGTGATATATCAAGAGAAAGTGCGTTTCTTATGGATTAAATGAGGTATACGAAACTGTCGTAGCTTGAGAATTGAGTTATTTGCGTGAATAGGGAAAATACAATATACTAAGAAATGTACTATGTACCAAAATTGTAATGATATGCATATTTGATAAATTTTATGAGCTTAAGGTTTTTGAATATAAAAAAAGTGCGTTTCTTATGGATTAAAATGAGATGAAAACTGACAAAGTAATTTGCGTGAATAGGTAAAATTTTTTTCAAATAGATATCAAAATTTATCTTATAACGATAAAATAGTTATCTTTTTTGTGCTTTTTTTAATCCTTAAAGTCAGTTTCTGGACCATAAGTTTAGAAATTGAAAATGAGCTTAAATTAGGAAATTTTGACTAATTTGTAGAAAAATTTTAAAAACGTTTGTTGAAAAATTATACTGAAATCAGCATTTTCAATCACTGGTACGGAACTAAGGACACTTTCAAATGATGTGTTTTATTTTTTCCATATGCAGTAGATTTAAAGAACTGTTCAGTTCTTACTTTGAATTGTAGTGCCCCTGAGAAATTCTGCACTATCTGAATATTGACAGATAGTTAAAGTTTTTTTGTTCAGTACTGCATACAAAAGTGGCATCGTAAA